CTTAGCTTCTCTTCTATTTCAAGGAAGAAATTGGATGTGGAAACTGGAAGGTAGAGATTGATCCCTAAACAAAATCGAGATGTATATGATAAGAGAATTTCAAGTTGAATTAAAAAAAAAAGAAATGGAGCACAATTGATAAGGACTATAAGGAGAAATTATGATGTAACTAAAGCAGCACAACATGTCTTACATGCTTTGGAATACTTGATTAATTATAGATATATGTGGCAATGCAATTCATTGGCTGTAAAAATTTCTCTTTAACCCCTTAACTCAGCCAAGAGAGGAATAGAGAAATATGGCAGTGCAAAAGCAAATAAATATGGCTGAGGGAACACTGTGACACAAAAACATGCAAAAACATTGGGCGGAGTGATTTCAAAATGGAGGAGATTTTCCAGTGTTGTAAACGAGAAGAGAAGTGATTTTGAAGCTGTAACCTCCTACTGAAGGAGGAAAATCATGTAATGTCATAAGGAAATCAATAGAAAACAGGAGTTGTTTTAGCCCAATTTCATGTATTTCCTAACTTCTTTTGAAATGGGAAGAGGCTTGTACTAGCAAAGAAGCCAAGTGCTTCAATCTTGTCGAGCCGTCCCATAGAGAGGAAGACTACTTGCACTTACTAGATGTGCACTTCTTATTAACTGAGTGTCAAATTATCATTATTATTTTAAAAATTATGAATAGTGCACACTAGACCAATTACTAGCACAGTCGGCGTCTCCAATTTTTATTTAAAAAAAAAAAAATCAAAGGAAACCCTAATTAAAGAATAAATCATGTTCAAACACTTCGCCGGTAACTACAATTGTCTGCGTGACTATTATAGTAGATCATGGGATTAGCTTTCAGCGGAGGCCTATAATTGAGCATCACATGTGGGGGTGCCATCGGCACTCGCGGCTGTGGCGGTGGACGCATATGCGAGTAGTGATGATGTGGAGGTGCCATTCCACTTCCATGGACTGGCGGGTAACGCCCGTACGTTGAGTAACATGCTGATTCAGGCACGTATGGCCATGGACGACGCCATTTGAAGGGATTATTCGTCGTTGGACTCGGAGCCTTCTTTTTCGCTTCATTTTTCTTGGGAAACAAACATCGGAGAAAACCAAAACAGTTCCTATTTTTCTTCATGCTCTGCTTTTCTTCAGGTAACTGGGAATTCTCCATGGGAACTTGGGAATTGTTTTTCATGGATTTATTCGCATGATCGGAATTTTCGTCGGAGGAATCAGAAAGAGGCTCCGAAGTGCATTTTTTGGAACGGGTACAGGCTCCCCGAGAATTTTCTAAAACAGGGCCCTTTCTGAATGACAAAAGCTCTGCTTTTTTGCCCCATTCTGCAAACTTCCCCACAATTGTCTTCTGATCTATATTGCCTGAAATTTTTAGCCGTCCTTCCACATCGAAACTGACAGAATCAACTCCTAAAGGAGAAGATAATTTTTTAAAAATTATGAATTTTCCAACAAGTTAATTTTCATTCCATTCCATCAAAATGAAATTGTTAAATACAATTGCCTTTCCACCCACCCCCCAAAAAAAAAAGAAGTTAAATTACCACGGAACTTCTTCAATGCCTTAGTTGTTTTCTTTTGACACTCGGCGCAAGACTTGACATGGTTCACCTCCAAAACAAAAGTACTCTGCAAAGAAATTTTCTGAGAAAACAAAAGAAAGTAAGACATGAACGAGAAAAAAGTCCATCTTTGATTAGAACAGAGTAGATGAGAAAAAGGGATATACCGGGGTTGGTGCCTCGGCTTGAGGCTGGTGTGGTTTCATTAAACTAACTTCAAATTACCCAAAAAAGCCAAAAGATTTATAGGTTGAAAGAGGAGAAAGAGAAACACAGTGAATTGTTTGTATTATTCTATGCAGATTCGAGAATGGCTCCGGATTCGGTTATGTAATTTTATAGAGATCAGAGTCATATATGGATATGTAGTAATGGCGGATTGGATTGAAGAGAAAGTTTAGGAGATTATGATTCCCAGCACTGAAGTTCAGTGAAATATGTAAAGATTGCTTACCAAAAGAAAAAAAGAAAAAAAGAGGCAAAACCGTTCATTAAGCCTCTAAACTTATCTTAAATTCTCAATTAAATTCCTACATTTTTATCAAAATAAATAACTTTCTAAACGAATGGCCCGTTTCGACCCAATGACATTGGACCTGAGTTAGGGTTATTAACCTCTATGAGTAGTGTGTTCGAATCGAACTCATTTTCCCCCTCTCCCATATATATATATATATGTAAATAATATCAAAATTGTTCAAAAAAAATAACTTTCTAAACATGTTTGTCAGGACAATTGAACCTTCTTGTTTACTGTACACTTAATACTTATTTGTACGTTACTTGTATAAATAAGGTTAATATCCACTACATAAATAATAACATGTCAATAATTTATTTATACACATGATACACAAATCAACTTCGTCGTAAAAAAACACTTAATACTTATTTGTACATTACTTGTATAAATAAGGTTAATACTCACTACATAAATAATAACATGTTAATAATTTATCTATACAAATAATACGCAAATCAACATTGAGTTCGTCATAAAAAAGATTAATTAAATTGTCTAAATTACCAAATTCATGAATTTATTTGTTTCACTAAAAATTTATGATCTTGATTAAGAATCCAATACAAGTTTGAGAGACTAACTTAGGGTTTTTCTATAAAAAAATAAAATTAAAAAAAAAAAAAAACAAAACAAAGAAAGATAAGATTTTTTTTGAATCTCATTATTCTTGTAATTTGTCTTTAAATGAAGTAAAAGAGCTAATAATGGATCGATATTTTGGTCCAAGTGGTTTGTCCTCAACCCTTAAACCGCTTGGATTATTTAGTCAAAATTTTGAATCTCACCAATGTCTTCAAAAATTCTCAATCCCCAAATTGTAAACTTTTCGAAAAAACAAAAAAATAGAGGAGCTAATAATAAATTTGTGAATTTGACAGTTTTATACTACAGTTCAAGTCATACAACACCTTTTACAAATGTTAAAATCAAACTAAGCACTAAAAAAAAAAGAGAATGTTTTTGTGGTCCAATGATTATCACATCTTTATAAAATATTTTTTTATGTTAAAACTTAAAAGTGTGAGATTCAAACTTCATTCTCAACATTAAAAAAAAAAAAAAGCACTTAGAAAAGAATTTATACGAGATTGTAAACTGCAAAAAGTTTATTGTTAATGGCATCAAAGCTTGGCAATTTTAAGTTATTGGGTGAAGTCAACTAAAATCAAAAAGTCCAATACAAAAAACCGTCCCAGGTATTGCTTGGTTTAATCATTATAAAATTGATAGTAGTCAATATTTAATTGTTGACTCAGAAAAAAGAAAATTTATTGATAGTTATTCTCATGGTAAAATTCAAACAATCAATAATTAATTTGTTAAAACTTATAACTAACGAAATGCAGTACTTTGACCAGAACGGAAAACGCAATACTACCTTCTTTTTTTTTCTATTGTTTTCTCCAACGTTAACAATTGAACGCAAGTTTTACCTTGCACTGTAAACTCTTTCTCAAAATAAATAAATAAATAAATAAAATTAAAAATCCCTGCATTTGGGGTCCCACCTAAGTGGCCAATGGTTGGGGGACACATCAACATGATTAAAACGACCGCACGATCACCCGAGCCTAGGTTGAAATCTGACTGAGAACGATCCTCTATAGCGTCAACGGTAAGGAACCATTTAAGCCATTAATCACGCTCTGATCATACGGTTATGATTCCACCACCGGACTTGGGATCTTGTCTCCTTCAAACTCAAGGACACAGAGGTTTGAGCTTATAGAACAGAACCCATTCAAGTAAGGTCGTGTTCTAATGTCCTGGTTTACCTTCATATAAACCGTCTTTAATTCCATTCCTTAAGCCCAACTGCGACATGTGTTTAGGGAAGCCAATATATGTGCTGATTTTCTCACTTATATGGTCCTTTTTGAAGGTTGTCCTTTTGGGTTGGATATGTTTTTGTATGCTGATATGAACGGAAACATCGGACCAAGTTTCTCAGGCTCTAGTGTAATTCTGGCTTCGCCTTTGTCATCCAATCCTGCTTTTCACAAAAAAAAAAAAAAAAAAAAAAACCAAAGAAAGATAAGATTTTTTTTTAATCTCATTATTCTTGTACTTTGTCTTTAAATGAAGTAAAGGAGCTAATAATGAATCGATATTTTGGTCCAAGTGGTTTGTCCTCAATACTTAAAGTGCTTGGATTATTTAATCAGAATTTTGAATCTCACCAATGTCTTAAAAAATTCTCAATCCCCAAATTGTAAATTTTTCAAAAAAAGTAGAGGAGCTAATAATAAATTTGTGAATTTGACAGTTTTATACAACAGCTCAAGTCATATAACACTATCTACAAATGTTAAAATCAAACCAAGCACTAAAAAAAAGGAGAATGTTTTTTTGGTTCAATGGTTATCACATCTTT